GCATTGATGTCAGAAATCTGTCAAAGTGTATATTTTTGACAAATGCAGTTTATATGGAAAAAATAAATAGCAATCAGCATCAATAAAAGAATTCGACACAATGTAGTGAATAAGTTTCAAACGCGGGAAATTTCCTATCAAAATATAACACGTGCATATAATATTTCCTAAGGGAAATTTTAAAAAATTTCGTCTTTAGCCAATTTTTTTAAACAAAACCATTCGTGCATAGCGCCAAAGAAAAAATCCCTCACCCTTCGGGTTCGGGATTTTTTCAGGCGCTATGCACTCATGATTTTGTTAAAAAATTGGCTTCAGACAAAATTTTCAAAAATTTCCGGAAATATTTTATGCACTAGTTATATTACTACTGGTAACAATTGCATCAACAGAAAATTTATCCGATTTTTTTATCCAGTTATATTTTCTCTTCCTTCCTATTTATCCGCTAGCAAACTACGGTTTTTGACATTTCAAATGGGATTATTTATACATGAGTGGAATTGCCAGTGATCAACGAACTGTAACGAAACTCACCAAAAATATGCAAACTAACCCGTCCACTTGATGCGTACTAGTCCTTGAATGTTAATATTGAATTTGGAAAAACACAAACGCACTTCGCGCGCTTTTCGAATGGAAACGATTTTTAAAGTGATACCTATAAAATAACTGCGAAACGAGCTGCGAAATAATTCCATAGAAGTTGGGGCATATAGGCATAGACCTAACTACTACGTAGGTAGTCGTTAGGTCTATGCTATGCTATAAGTTACTAGAATTATTTATCCGGAGATAGACGGCTCTCTTAAAACCAAGTACAGGCCGTCGATTTTAATCTGATACTCCAAAAGAATGTGAGCTGGTGGCTCCCTACGTTAGAAAGCTATTGGTCACCTGACGTCACACCTGTTTTGGCCATATGCATCACCCCCTCGCTCCTCATACAGAAAAATGTCAGATTAGAAACGAAGGACAATACCTTCTGCCACTGAAACTTTAGGTCAACAGAGAGTACTTTTAGAACATGCATACACTCCAAGGTCGGTATTGCAGAAATAATAATGTGAAAATCTATCCACTGGAACTGCATGACCTTTCGTTTTTGTCCTGCAATAAGGAGGCCGCGGCATCAAACCTTTGTCCTTTACATATTCCAAAGTCATAAGCTTCCGGCCTAGTTTTGGGTAGAATACGTTTACTTATTTGGATTCTAAACATAGTGTAGTAATAATATAGTGAAATGTAAAATGTACTAATGTCTTGTTTTTTTTTTAAAGATGAAAGTCAAAATGACATAATGTTGGAAATACAATGTAAAATTGTCAATGCTTTCAAATTTTTTATGTAGAAAAGAAGGCTTGTGTTGCCAACATATATCCTATTCACAATCTGTTGTCCAAAGGTACAGGTAAATTTATCACCTTTCCCTATCAAATAGCATTGAAAGGTGATAAATTTTACTTGTACCTTTGGACTACAGATTGTGAATAGACAATAGTTACTAAATTTTTGACTTGGGGAATTATCTTAAAAAAAAAAAACAGACTTTACGTCACGGAAACCGACCACAGGAAACCGACTTAACGATTCACGTCCAACGTCCATTTGACAATCCATTTATATTCTGTCATTTTTGACGTGTTTTTGTTTATAAGCAACGTTGTATTGATTTTTTCTGTTTGTTTTTTCTCTGAATATCGGTTTTAAATTTATGTGAAATATTTTCTCTTTGAACATCGAATAATACATTCATTCTTGCTCGATAATAAATTGATTGATGATACGAATACTACACGCCCCGTGGATTCCAAACCGGAATCCACGGGCTATCGACCAATCAAATTCTCCGTATTTTCGGAATACATGGGCCGCAACGAGACAATACAAACAAAACATGACTGACGTCACGGAACATACTGACGTCTACTGACAGATCACGAAACTTTCGTTTTAAAAAAATATACTTTTGATTATTGTAATTTCTTACAAAAACTGATTTTCTTTCAAAAAATTCGAAGAGAAAGTATAGTCTTCTACTAGCAAACAATGGCTATTATTATATGCTCGTTGAAGAATATACTATATTTTCTAGAAAATTGGTATTTTAGAATGGAGAGTCCTTATCTTAAGAAGTTGTTAGTGCAAAATTCCAAATGTTAGGAAGTTGGCAAGAAATATGCTAAAAACTAACAGTTTAGTAAAGGTTCGTCGAAGGTGAATGGAATCCTTGTGGTGCCAATTTCACTATTTGATCTAAGCCGCCATATTGATTGGATTGCCCTATCACAACCAATCAAATGAATAATCATGACGTATTTCCGCAACAAACTTTTCACGTTTTTATATTCAGAAAATTTTTAAAAATGCAAAGGAACATCAATTTTTCAGGCAATTGATTTCAACTAAGTATTCTAAAGTCTGAAGAATTTCTCCGAAAAATGGAAGCAGCTTATTTCCGCAGAAAATTTTTTATATTCAGAAAAATGTTAAAAATGCAAAGCCATCAATTTTTTCAATGTAACTGATTTCAGCTATTCTAAAGTCCGGAAAATGGAAATGACGCATTTACGCAGAAAAATGTATGTGTTTCTGATATAAGGAAGACTTCCTGAAAACAACTGTAACAACATCTCGTATACTGATTTCAGCTAAACGAAACTTGAGCCAAATAATTTGTTAGAAAGAGACATACCTATTACAGTGAAAGTATCAAAAATTCTTCCAACAAATCTAAAGAATCGTGGAGGATTGGGGAAGAATAATAACAAAACAGTGGTTATAAGCAAATTAAAAGCTAATGATCTTAACCACTTTTACTGTAGCATTGCATCCAATCTATCCGCTAGTTAGTATTCATCAACCGCTTGATCCCAGGGTCTATCTGGAGCACATTGTGGTGGCTGAGACATTATTTTTCTCCCCAACATCAATACAAGAGATTAAGGAAATTATCTGCGAGATTGGAAATAAGAATACATCGGGTTGGGATAATCTTTCTTTGAGGGTTGTGTCTTGTTTGCTTGATGAAACCTTGCAAGCTTTTGTGCGAGCTATAGATAGTTCGTTTCTTTCGGGCGAATTCCCTTTGTGTCTCAACCAAGCTGTGGTTTCGTTCCTACTTGTCGGGTAGATCGCAGATAGAGATGAGCAGAAAATCGCGAACTGCTAAAAATTCACTGCGAATATAAAGTCGCAATCGCAGTCTGCTAATTATTTTAAAATAAACTGCGAATTGCGCATATTGCATATTGCGAACAGCTGACGTGAATTCGTGCAACTACACACACCGAACAGAGACAGAGCGATATCGAATAGTGAATGTAGCGAATTGCTGCGTTCACTGTCACCACTTACACTACTTAGCTCATTTATTTACTATAAGTTTTTTTAAAAAAACCTTGCTTCGTTTTATTTATTTAATTTTTGATAATTCATAGGATGGCATCATTCGTGGTAATCACCTAAAAACTACTCTACATCATAAAACAGAAGCAATCACATAGCATATTTAACATTTAACCTGAACATACACAACAACAAACAAACATACCTACTAACGTCGCAATCGCAAAACGGCGTATGGAGACAAAAGCATCATGACGTCATTAGCAGTTTTCATTCGCAGTTTATATTCACAGTGAATAAAAAATCGCATTCACAGTTATAACTGCGAATGAAAATTCGCGTCTTAGCTCATCTCTAATCGCAGACCGTGAGATGTCAAGATGGTGAGTCAAAACGAAGCAACATCAATGTTGGGATCCCCCAGGGATCTGTGCTGGGACCAATTCTCTTCTCGTTTACGTCAATGAGTTACCCCAACTCCAACTCCCAATGTTGGGAAAGTTTACTCTTTTTGCGGATGATGCGACCATCTTGTGGCACGGTTCAGATGTGGAAAAATCGAGGGAAAAATTGAACAACTTCAGATGCGAACTAGATAAGGTTTACCTGCATGATATTCCTATAACTCCACAACAAATTCTTGGGCCACACAATCGATAAGTGCCTCAATTTTGAGGATCCTATTTCTAATGTTTGTAAAAGGGTTTCTTCGGGATGTTATGCCTTAAGAGTGATATCTGGGAGCTTGGATGTCTCGGTTGCTAGGAATGCATACCTACTGGGCTTTGGTAGAGTCTCACTTACGATATGGCATATTCTTTTGGGGTAGCTACACCCGTTCATCGTTCGATTCAGTGTTTCTGCATCCGAAGAGGGCAAGCCGTTGTACATTCAGGGTCAGGACTTGTGATTCCTGTCACCCTCTTTTCATCGGACATGCTATCCTTACGCTTTATTCGCTGTTTATACTGACATGATGTTCAGGAAGTACAGGGCTGAGCTGAAGGTGGACAAATATTATACTCGTCAGTCTTTTCATCTCAGTTCGCCCTTACCACATTAACAACTGGTAAATTTTTTTATTTATATATGAAGGTGACACCTTCCAATAGAAATAAGAAAGCTTGGATGCTACAAGAGTTTTAGGAAGCAGGCTAAGGCTTTTTTGGTAAATAAAGCATACTATAGCCTTAATGAATATTTTTATTAAACCATCATAACTGGTTGAGATAATATATTGTTGGACCTTGGGTTTTGACCACGAGTGACATGTATCCTGGTTTCTATTGTAATGAGTTGAATTTTGTATGTATTAGACCCAAACTATGGACTTACTAGTAACGGCTTTGGCAAATTTATCCTGCTGGTAGAACTAAAAATTGAATGCAATTTTTAATTTTGCCAGCAGGATAAAGTTCAGAGATACAAGGGGTGTCCAGAAATGCAACAGTTTCAAAAACACCTTTTTTCTGAAAAAAAAGGGCGATGACGGCATTTTCCGTTCGACAAAAAAGTAGAATACGTTCACGAAAACCGCATCCAACTTCAATAGCAACCAAAATATCCTTTATGACCTTTATGTACAATCACAATGGGACACGCTGTACTCTGTACTTCAAATATTTACAATGAAACATTTACTGATATATGAGGAATCGTCAAGTGGTCGAATCTTTACAAGCAGAGGAGGTGTTAGCATCAAAGAAAGAGATGTAAATTCTGAAGGAAGCATTAAGCAACCCACAATTTTATTGAAACCCAGAGAATCTAATATTGAGGATAATAGTTTTGCGAAAAAGAAACAGAGAGAAAATGAAGCAGCAACCAGTAATCAGGCCTCGAAGGAAATTGAAGGTAAGAATTTGTGGTAAGACACATTAAGTACCTACCATTAGATCTTGAATACAAATTACCTATAGAAACACTTAAGAAATATTTTTATCACTGACTAGAAGTTCCAAAAAATTATTTTTTCAGGCACTACCCCAGTTTTGAAACACATGAAAAAGTCTATAAAGTTGATTGAGGATGGTATCATGAACACTGAACACGTTCAAGAATATTTACAAGAAAACAGTGATTTTATTGTTGTGGCAGTAGTAGGTACTCAGCACACTGGAAAATCCGCAATCTTAAATTTATTAACACATGAAAAGGTACCAGCGTTTTAGCAAATTTGTTGAAAACTCTCTATTATTTTCTAATTATAGATTACAGACAGTATCAAAAAAAATATATTTCATTCCAACTTTGAGTCTAAAGAAGATTTTGAAGATACCATTACATTACTCCAAAGGGTGGAGGAAAGTCAAGAAGACTCGTCAAATATTTTCAAAGTGCACGATCTAGAAGACACAGTAGATTGTACAAACACTACACAAGGCATAGACATTTACGTTTCCTCAAACCGAGTAATATTTTTGGATTGCCAGCCATTTATTGCTGTATCTCCTTTATACGATTTAATAAATAGTGAAAATAAAAGGACTAATCTTGTCAATGATTTTATACCTTTAGAAAACAGTGGAGAAATACAAGGACTTCAGTATACAGCTTTTTTAATGTCAGTGTGTCATATTTTGTTGCTTGTGCAGGATTGGCGTTTTGATTGCAATGTTGTAAGGTAGGTAACTGTTGTATTATTTGTTTATTGTAATTACTTTCAAATGTAAATTTTTAGGTTTTTACAATCAGCTGAAATGTTGAAACCAACAAAATCGAATCCTGAAGATGATTGTTTAGAGCATTTTCCCCATTTAATTATGATCCAGAATCGAGCACAAATGGCAGATTTTACACCAAAAGAATTCAAGATATTGCAGAAAACGTATGATGCTCTGTTAAAAAAAACTAAGCTTCAATTTCACACTAATTTAGGCATAGGCTCTGGTAGAATCATGAAAACCTTGAGCCCGGAAAATTGTGGAAATCCAGTAAATTTGTTTTTGATACCAGAAGAACAAATTGATTCAGACGGTAAGTTATTTTTGAGGTTGTTTAAAGTGTATTATTCATTGTAATTTCCTAGATGTTATTTATTGGGGTCATCCACCTCTAGAAGATTTGATTAAAAAGCTTAGAGCAAATTTATTTGAAGCTACCAAAAATTCTCTAACTCATGTTCAATTGACTGAAAAAACTTGGCTGGTTTATTGCAATAAGGTTTGGGAAACTGTTAGGAAAAGTCCATTTTTTGTGGAGTATACCAAATTGATGCCTTGATGAAGGTTGTATTTAATGTGATAAATTGATTTCTTAGCTTCTCCAAAGAAAACAATATGAGAATGAAGAGCGATCTATAATAATTTCGTAGGTAACAATTGTATGAAAAGATGGAAAAAACAACATACTAAGCAAATAATTGCCTTGTTGTAATAAAATAAATGGAATTTTGTTTCGTTCAAAATGTATTTTAGAATAAAAAGGGGTTTTCTTGAAGAAATGCTTATTTTTTTATTATTTTAGCTTCCACCGTTTCCAAAATATTCAAAAAATAATCTCGATTGCTTGTTTGTTGTGGATGAAATCATTGATTCAAAAACACTACATTACGCAAGTGTACAAAAGTAACATCATCATCTAGGGGGGCCATCGGGGCAGGCCCCCCCACCCAGGCCGCCCTTCCAAAAGTGTATTTTTAGTTTTTAACTATAAAAATGTAACAACATCAAGGCGTGGCACCCCGATACCTCAATTTTAACTTTGGAAATGTTTATGTTCTCGCTTATATGAGGATCAAATTCGAAGTTTTCGTTCAAGGTCAAAAGACGGCGATGTCGCCAGGAGCGTGCGGTGAATTTTAAAGTACAAGGCGAAGCATGTCGCAGTATTCGCAGTGGGCGCAGTGCAGCAGGGCGCGGCAAGAGTTATATCGTTATCTGGGCGGTCAAAATTGAAAAAAAAAATATATACATATTTTTTTATTTTATTTTATTTTTTATTTTATTTATTTATTAACGGACTTGCCATTTAATGTTAACAATATGTCATTTTGCACTAATATTTATTGCACTAAAATTTATTGCACTAAAATTATAAAATATATAATCAATAATCACTTAACAAAGTTAGACAAACAAAAATTAAAATACAACTACAATAAAAATAGAATAATTGATAGATTCACAAACTTTGGATTGGTCCAGCCTTTTCAGTAATTAATTCAATTCAAGAATGAACAGTTATAGGTCTCTTAAAACAAGGAATATCAGTACAGAAAAGATCAGCATTACCACACTTTGAATTTGCCAGCCCACATATTCGGAACATAAGACTATTTAACCCATAGCAATCAACGCCCATAGTAAGTTCTATAAAAATCTATTGTTACAAATAAGTGATGCCGACGGGTTAATTTTTGGGGTACTCTAATAATAATATTACTTAGCAATCCAGGGCTGTCAATCATCCCATTTACAATTCTGAACAAAGTAAGTAGGTACATCAAATTAAGTCCTTCTAAGTTCCAAAAGTGGTAAATTCAACTTTCCATACAAATGTTCATAATTAATATCTTCCATGGGAATTCCTAGTTTAAAATTCATATTGTTCGCAAAAATCTTCTCTGTACCTTTCCCAAAGAATCTATGTGAACATTATAATATGGAGACCAGGCTGGACTAGCATAGGTACCCTACTCCAACACTGATCTTACAAAACTACAATACAGTGTTCTAAAGCACGTGACATCACGAAAATCTATCAGTGTTCTATTTACAAAGCCTAACCTTTTTATTGCTTTATTTACGACTGACATATAATGTAAATATTATATTTGTGATTTTGGCAGTATAATGCCATATATTATTCCCGCAGGGATTAACGGTCATTATACCCGCTCGCACACCAATCACAAAATTTCTCAAATTAAATAAGTAGTACCATGGAAACAATATACCTGAACAAACTCAAAAGTGTCATTGTCAAACGCGTAGTGCGTGTGTATTTGTATTGAGATGGATGAACAAAGAGCGTTTTTGGAAAGAAAATTTCAAATAAATTAATTTGTCGTAAATAAAGTAGAGTATACTACTCGCAATAATGGCTATTATTATTGGCTCGTGGTATAATCTACTATTATTCCCCATATAATTTATATGATAATCAAACCGTAGCTCACTGTCAATATAAACTTCAAGATCTTTTATAACAACTCTTTCCAGTTGCTCATCATAATTTCATAATCAAATGAAATGTTCTGTTTTTTTTTCTAGATACAGTTAAGATTTTACATTTTTCAATGTTTAACTTACACCACAGACACAAGCCATTCACAAGTCTTTTTGCAACTCAAGACAATCTTCAGTGCACCTTATAATCTTAAATAACATTAAATCATCGGCGAAAAAAGTATACTACTGAATTTAATTTTAGAAACAAGATTATTTATAAAAATTTCAAAAAGTATTAGTGCCAAATGTGATCCTTGGGGCACACCATCACACACATTAATATTGGATGATATCACATTCTTTATCTTAACTGCCTGCGTACGGTTTACGGTTTGATAAATAACTCTTAAAGCCATAGCCAGAATTGGTCCAAAACCCATACACTCCAATTTGTGCAACAAAATGTCGTGCCCTGTCGAAAGCCCTGGAAAAATCAGTGTAGTCTGAGTCAACCTGACATCTGTCTTCCAAGGCCCTCCCCAGTGATTCAGTGTAGACCAGAAGGTTCCTAACAGTTGAACGACCCTTAACAGAACCCCATGTTGGGATGACGATATAACACTGTACATTAAAGGAGCTATCTTATCAGTTACTATTGATCCAAATAACTTTGCTATAATGCTAAACTTAGAAATTGGCCTACAATTATCGACTAAAGATTTATCGACCCTCTTGAGTTACTCGAGAATCCTTTCATTATGAAGGGAATATTCCAGATGACAGAGATACGTTATACCATGGATGGGGATTTCAATAAAATAATAGATATTTATGATACAAGTGTGTATAGTCGCCGCCACAGATTATCGAAATTCCTACAAAAAATGATTTCTTTGTCGACGATGCGTATAGTATTATTGTATTGTTCTGGATTCGATACCGTAAAACGGGGATACTTTGTGATAGATTTTGAGGTTTTTTGCAAGTTTTTTGCAATTCTCAAACAGTTCTTTGCCACATAAAATTCTAAAAAAAAATACACTATGTATATTCGTCCTTTCGCTACAAAATGCCAATAATAGGAAATTGAAAAAAAATTGATAATTCGGCTTTTTTTTAATTTGAAAGTGTCCCAATTTCAAATTAACTTTGTAAAAGTGCGTTTTTACAATAAAAACATAATGTAACCCCGTCATTTCTAGTCTGAAACGATAGGAAATGTCAAGAAATATTTGCTTGAGAATTTCATACATCTGTCAAAACTGGTATTCCAACAATGAACTGACATGTTTTGATTGTTGATTTGAACCAATCAGATTGTAATTACGCGATAATTTGTACTAGTGCAAATTATCAGATAATTGCATACTAACTGGTGAGAAAACTGGTGTTTTGACATTTTTTGACAAAAAATTTAAATTTTTGATTTATGAAATTCTCTCATTAAATACAACTCGTGCAATGGAAATATATTTATAATTTTCGACAAATTTGCACTCATGCGTTTTTAACTGAAAAAGGCACTCGTGCACTCGTGTTCTTTTCCAACTAAAAATGCATTGGGGCAAATTTCCCAAAAATTATCAATAATTTCCATTGCACTGGTTATATTACTATTGAGAATTTCATACATCTGTCAAAACTGGTATTCCAACAATAAATTGACATGTTTTGATTGTTGATTTGAACCAATCAGATTGTAATTACGCGATAATCAGATAATTGCATACTAACTGGTGCGAAAACTGGTGTTTTGACATTTTTTGACAAAAAATTTAAATTTTTGATTTATGAAATTCTCTCATTAAATACAACTTGTGCAATGGAAACATATTTATAATTTTCGACAAATTTGCACTCATGCGTTTTTAACTAAAAATGCATTCGGGCAAATTTCCCAAAAATTATCAATAATTTCCATTGCACTAGTTATATTACTATTGATAATTTTCTGATATTAAAAACACGGGTAAATATACTGATTTGGACATTTTAATTTTTTCTTGTATATCATACGATATCGTATTTATCACCCTCATATTCAGCCAGAAATTTGAATGTGAACTCCACCAATAGAAAGTCGTCCACATTAGGAGACATGTCGATTTTTTTTAGCGTTGTTCTAGGTTGAGCATAAGTTTCTTCCATACTAATTATATGTCACAAAGTTGCCCCAGTAGGTTCCTCTGTTTTGCTTATTGTTAAAAAAAAAAATGTGTCAAATTAATAAATCGTAAGCGATTTCACGTAGATATCCCGACATGTACCCAAGCAATTGGAAAGTCTTAGGAATTTTTCAGAGAAATGTTCAGATTCTCATCTACAGTAGAAAGTTTTGGGGGTTTCGAAAAAGTTGCAAAAACGAGATGCTCCCTTCGAATCAGGATGTTACCAAGGGAGCGTACCAGCTTGCCGAGCGGTCTTTGTAGCGGGTGAGGTATGTGCTTCCACCTGTCGGTACAAGAATTTGGCTCGGCACGCAGAATTTAAAACGTATTGGCTTATTTGATTTGAATTTCACAAAGTTTCCCCCTTGTCACAAAGTACGTTTTACGGTAGGTACTTAATTTCTTGCATTAAATATTTGAAAGATCTTTTAAGAAGATTGAAAAATAATTTTAAACATTATTCACAACAATTTAAACCGAATAATTTCAAACCAATATAATCTTGTACTCAATAGCGGTTCCTGACACGTGCTCCCTTACTAAATGCAGGCCTGCTAGTGCTGATAATATAAACATACTTTTTTTTACGAATCTCGAATATCTCTGGCAGCGATACTATAACAGCATACTTAAGATAAGGCGGTTACACACGGACGTGGATGTCTTAATACATATACGTGCATACATCAACGTGCAAACAACAACGTGCATGGCGCTTTTGTACAGACGCTCGCACAAAACTGCAGTCTTGCTATTGTAATAACTCGAGACGATTTGGGGTTCTTAGGCCTTCAGTAAAACTACTATGTTGGTTTACTTCATAATGTATATTAATATCATAATGCATTTTCACAAGCGAACAGCGGTCATTGTACCTGCTGACTTAACAATTAGGTAACGGCAATAATATAATAATATAATATTAGCTAACTAATCAATTTGCACCATCAGATGCCATACAGGGTGTATTTACCCTATTACACTATTCTTGCTACAGTATTCCGAGTGTGCATACAAAATTGCACATTCAAAAACGCGACGATATTTTGCGTACACATTGATGTTTTTGTTTGCGCGTTCATGTATGTGCGTACATGTTTTCAGACATCCACGTCCGTGTGTAACCGCCTATACGCGTGTGGAAGGGGTGGAAGTTGCACGA